TTCCCTGGAAAACTGTGTCTGATGGACTTGGGGTCCTTGGGGAAACTCCAGCCGTTCCAGGTTGTATGACAGGCTGGAGAAGCCCTGATGAGAACATTCATAATTAGTGACAAATCTTTGGCACAAGGAGGCATGGCTAATGCACCTGGACAGATGACCGGATGGAGGAGGTTGGCAGTCACGCAAGCAATTTTACTGTGTCACCTGCGCCCTAAATCAAGGGAGCAGCTCTGTTGCTGGCTTCCCGAAAAGCTCGGAGGAACCATCACCAAAGTCCAGGGGGGCAGAGCAACCCCCAAAACACACCACTCCTGGATGATTCTATCTTGCACCTCGTCTTCTCAGACACAACCCTGGCAAAGCTCCCGCTTACTTTTGGGAAAAATCCACTCCTGGAGAAGGAGAGCAGCTCACAAATTTGAGTTTTGCTCAAAGATGCGGCAGAGCTCACCTGGCCTTCTGCAGCAAAATAGTAAATGGAAAGGGTGTCACCTGCTGGCAGCACAAAATATTTCACCTTAGTGAATAATGCATGCTTCTGCAGTAGGCGAACTTGTTTTATGTACTGTACTTTATTAAAAGCGGGTAAGTGGCAATGGGTGGCTGTTAGCTGAAATTCAGGCCCCACGTTCACTAATTGCCTCTGTATAACTTAAAGCCCCTTGGCAGTGCTTGCTCTCTTTCTCTCTCTCTCTCTCTCCTTCCTTCCCTCTCCCTCTCCCCATTCCTATTTTAATGTTGGTCTGCGGGGTTAGGAAGAACAGTTTGCAGGAATTGAGTATGTCTAATTCAAAGAAAAGAAGAACTAGGGGTGACATGATCGCAGTGCTCCAATATTTGAGGGGCTGCCCCAAAGAAGAGGGAGTCAAGCTATTCTGCAAAGCACCAAGAAGGCGGGACAAGAAGCAACGGATGGAAACTAATCAAGGAGAGAAGCAACTAAGGAGGAATTTCCTGACAGTGAGGACAATTAACCAGTGGAACAGCCTGCCACCAGAAGTTGTGGTTGCTCCAACAGTGGAGATTTTAAAGAAGGGATTGGTAACCATTTCTCTGGGACGGCATAGGGACTCCTGTTTGAGCAGGAGGATGGACTAGAAGAAGTGCTTTTCAAAAGGCAGCTGGACTTTGTTTCTCCTTGAAGATGTTTCACTTCTCATCCAAAAAGGTTCTTCAGTTTTGCTTGGGTGAGCAGTGAAGCGTCTTCAAGGAAGAACAAAGTCCAGCTGCCTTTTGAAACAACCTCTGGGACAACCATGACCTGGATGACTGAGAATCTCAGATACTTTGTCTGAAGAGGTCCTACATCAGATGCCTCCGTGGAATTTTGCACCCCTACAAACCTCAAGCATTGCTCTGTTCTGGGGAATTCCAACACACACACACACCCCATTTGGCTATTCTGGTGGCTGGAAGAGAGTTGAAGGAAGGGTGAGAAATGGGGACACATCCATGCGGAATTCCACCAGAATTTAGAAGACCTTTCCCAACGATGTCCTTGATGCTAGTTAAACCGCCTTCTCCTCCCTCAGTTGCTCCAGAAAGGCAGTTGAGTCATCCTAATCAACTGCAGAAGGGGAGAACTTGCCGCCTGCCTGGAAATGGCATAAACCGCCCCAGAAGGCCCCCTCCTCCATCTCAGCTGCAGGGGAGGGGGCTGGGAGACCCTAGAAGGGAGAAAGGGGGGATTCCTGCCCCAAGGCAGCCTCTCTCTTCCTGGTTTCTCCCACGCGCCCCATCTGGGAGGCTTGGCACACTCAACAAGGTTTGTGACTCCCCACTGCTGACTTCCATCTTCGGTGTGCGATGGCACGGTGGCAATTAGTTCATTGGCACATATTTCCAATCAATTAACTCAGGAAAAGGCTTGCTTTCTTTGGAGGCTGCCAGACAACCTTGGACGCCTGGGGTTTGCGTGACGAGCCAGCACTAACAGTCCCAAGGTTGGGCACCAGCAATCGGTCTGTGGGAATGTGCCACTCTGGAGAATCCCCAGCTCATTTCCCAGCATTGCCTGGGTCAAAGGCCGCAGAGCCATGAAAGACTCAGCCTGAAATCAGCAGGAAGGAGCCGCCATTAGAGCCAAGCGAGCTGGTTCCTGTAGTCAGAGAGAGCCATGCGGTTTAAAGGCAGGTTCTCCATCCTGGTGCTATTCAGATCTTTGAAATTTCAACCTCCCAGGGGCGTAAGGTCAGTTTGGGCAGGCTGATTGAAAGCTTGTAGCTAGACTGCAGGGGTCTCCAACCGTGGCAACTTTAAGCCTGGTGGACTTCAACTCCCAGAATTCCCCAGCCAGCTGGTTATTGAAGTCCACCAGGCTTAAAGTTGAGGTTATCTCTGGTACATTAATCCCAAAGGTTATTTGCTGAGGTTGTAGACCTCAGAGACCCCATTTGCCTTCCTTTGCCCTGGAAATTCCCCTCTTTGCCATTCTTCATGGTTCTAGCACCCGTAAGATCTAGGGAAAACCTCGTTGTTTATTTCATAATTACTTGTACAATATGCTGGCGCAAACACTGTATATATCTTGGCTGTAAACCACATTGACTCAAGCAAGTTCCTCCTAAGATGTTGGGACTACAACCTCCAAAACCCCCAGCCAGCACCAATTGCTTCCATGCCGAGTGCCCCCTGCGTCCATTGGACTTTGCTGCCATCGGCCCCCCTTCTCAGATTCTTGGAAGTCCTCTTGAGAAGGTTCTGAAGGACATCACCAGGGCCATCTTCCCAGCCAACCAGGGTCCTCCTTTCTACCCAAAGGGGTGCCAGGGGTCACCCCCTTCTGAAAGATGGGCGTTGTTCTCTTTACAGAAGGCGAGCTCAGCTCCCTCATCGAGACCGGCAGCCAAAGCTCAGCAGTGACTGACAGAAGGGATGTTTTGCCCCATGACCTCTGAGTAGTTTGAACAAAGCATTTCATGGAACTCCTTGAAAAGGTGGCATGAGTCAAGAATTCTTACCTGGTTACATCATTTCAAGAGCTTTCCCATCATTATCTGAGTCCACCTGTCAGTAAACTGCAATGAAGAAGACCTGATGGTTCAGCTTCTCCACAAACTACCTGGGTCTCTTCGCTACTTTGACAGGCTCATCATTAGGTGAACATACCTGAGGACTGACAGCAGGAAAACCAGAGAAGGGGAGGGGGGAAACCCAGCGGACTTTTCTCCTGCTTGCAGGTATATTTGTTCGATCAGATAAAGGTAATCTGGTTCTGTATTCATTTGAACACCTACCCCCCCCAACCGAGCAACAATCCGCTCTCCCCGCTCCCAAATTAATCAGTTGAAAATGCGGTTTTGCCAGCAGCAAAGTTTCCAAATGTTCTGTTTGAACAGCAAAATTCACAACATATAAATAATATCCACCTGGGCTTTTGTCTTGCAGGAAAGACGTTCTGGAGATGTTCCAAATGAAGGCTGCCGTTTTGAATGTTCTGAATGCCAGAACTCATCTGTTGCTGTGGCTTTTAAATATCCAAACAATAAAGTTATATTTCTTTTTTTCAGGGGAGGGGAGAGGACGATAAAGGCCTTTCTGCCCAGAGTTTTAAACAGTCCAACTGCCTTGAACAATGTAATCCATCATTTGTTAATCAGATCGTAAGATTTTAATGGTCTCAGGGATGGCATTAAGGATGAGATGCTAGCACTTTGGTTGACCATCTTTAGGCAATTAGGTTAAAGAGTTGCTAAACCCTTTAATTCATACTGATCCAGCATCTCTGAGTGGCAGGTTTTCACCTTAAGTGGACCAACTGAGGTTTTGTAAAGCAGAGGGGCAGACCTTGAGGTCCAGATCTTGGGCGCAGTTCCCAAGTAATTCCCAAACGTTAGTACCAAACTGTAATTATTAAGGTGAAGCCCATTTCCTTCCTTCCTTCATCTCTTGATAAATAAAAATATTGTCGTCCTTTGAGGTGATGTTAGAGCCTTTGAGGTTCTTACTGCAAGAAATGAACCAAGTTTTCCTTTGGAAATTGCATGTTTTATCGTTCTACATTGTAAATATCTAGATAGTCTATATAACTTACAAGCCACGTATAGGACCCAGGCTACTCCAGCTAAAACCACACATGCACGAAGACTGAATGTTTTGCTTCATACTTCTAGCAAGCCTTTCGTAAGTGCCCATGTAAAATGGTGTCAAATTAAATGTGCAACGACAAAACCCCCACTATTGGAACAAGATGAAATTTTCAGTGGCCGTTTCAAAAATGACAACTAATTTGCAGGATTTGTGACAACAGTGCGGATCCAGCCAGTCCACATGAGATATTCCTAAGGCCCATTCTTTCCACGCCTATCTCCTTCTCTAATCCCAACAAGACCCTCCAGCTGGAAGCCCACATGAATTAAGTTCAGCAAGGTTTGTTCGGGAAACGATGCTGTGCAGGCCCAGTTAATGAATTGACCGTGGCTTTAACAAGGAAGGCGGCGACTCGTTTGCCGGGTCTGGCTCCTTCTGCTTTTAATTCCTGCACACCTGGGCACCTTTAGTAGCGCTGTCAGTCGGCATCTTTGGGGAAGCAGCTCTGGAGGTCGAAATACAGGTAAGCCAGAGAGCGAAAAAGAACAAAAGGACAAAAGTAAACGCTTTGGAGGGTCATTTTCCAAGGAGCTGTTTAAACCTGAGGAAGGTCATTCCCGGCTGCAGGCTTAGCCGTGGGGCAGAGAGAGAGGGTGAGAAGGGGGCCCCGCACTGGACAGGGAAAACTGTGCAGGCTGCCCAACTTAAAACAATATTTGAAAGGGGACGTTGGTTTTAAACATGAGAACAAAAACTAGAGAACGAAGATCCCTTGCAGCAAAAACACCATTAAGGATCACAGATGCCCACTCAAAATCATTGCTGAGCTTCTATCTCAAGTTTAACATTAACCTGGAGTTTTTGTTGGGTTTTGTTTTTGTTAAAACCATTTTTAAGGGCTATGTTAAGCCTCCTCCTCCTCCTGAACCAGAACTGAGCCACGGAAGACAAGGAAAAAGGCAACCATTTTGCAGGGAGGTCGATTTTAATTCTAAAACAAGTTGAGGCTGTTTGCGGCCAAATGCAGGCCCTTCTCCGAGGACCGCAAGCATTCGGTACTTCTGAACGGAAGAACCAGCGAGTGGCAGAGGCAGGCCTTGAAATGCCTCTCCCCTCCGGGATCCTCTCACGTCGCCGTTCTGAGAAAGCGACGGAGCTGAAAGGCAGTTCTTCTCTTCCGCAGGAAGACTGCCCTGGGCTCTGGAGGTTTTCCTGAAGGACGGGGATGCGGGATCAACTAATAGACTGTTCGCTTTCTCCGTTTTCCAGTTTTCTTTTCCTTTCATCTGTTTTCCTCTTAAAGATGCTATTTCTGTAGAACTGCAGCTCTCTGATGCTCTCCCGGATGTCGTCCAGGGCTCTAAAAATAAAACGATCCAGGAAAAATATATTTTACGGATAAGGAAACATGTTTTTATATTCTTTTACGATGGGGTTAGCAAACTCTCCAGAGTCACTTGGGTGAGAGAGGAGTGGTGTAGAAATTTAAGAAACAAATAAGCAATACAAACGCAGGTTTTGCACTCTCAATAGGGGCAGGAAATTCTATTGAGATTCATCTTTGCTACGCTTCAAATGCCTGGCGAGTTCTTCACCCCCATCTTCAGCATTCAGCCTGCGTTTTGGAACGCCAGCACCAGGCCGGTTTCTAACCCGGCTACATCTCGAAGCCTTTTGATCGGTTGTCCAAGCTGAGCCCCTGCTCAAATATCTGGGAATGGTGCCACCCAGGGGAATTGGGGGGCGGGGGGGGGGGGCGGGGGTGTGTGTTCTGCCCTTTCTTAAAGGCATCCATACAAAGTCTCTTTATTGAATCATCAGGCATCCTCAAATATGACTCACAGTTACGTTGAAATTCATCTCAATGTCCAATTCTCTGCATAGCTGACTTTATGGTGTAAAAGGATAGTGATCTTTCATCCGATGGTAGTGGAACAGAGGGGAGAGGCATCAGCACAATGCTGGGGTCCAAGCAAGAGTGAAGGAACCTCCCCCAACCCACCGAGGGTCTATTCAGTGACCACATGACATGGACTACATTTCCCAGGATGCCTTCCCTTAAAGGGATAGCTCCCAATTCCTAACGACCTATCCCCATTCCCTATTAGCTATATACTGTCTGGACAGCACAGGGGGTCAGTTTCATTCTCCACGTTATTCCCAGAAATTCAGACCAGGTGGGGCTCAGAGGAGACCCCCAACTCCTATCTCCTAGCACTGGAGCAGCTTTTCCAACGGTTCCTTGCCAACTCACACTTTCGTGGGGACTCCGCTTCCCAACTCACAGCTTCAAAGGCTGGGAAGCCTTCAGAAGGGAATGGGATGGGATAACTTGACCCAGCCTTCCCCCAGCCCCTCGGCCTGTGGAGATGCTCAAAGTGGCCCTTCCTACCAGTTGGGCATTCTGGAAATTGAAACCCCAACGTCCCTGAAGGAGGAGGAGGAGACCACCATCCCTGCTTGCAGACTACGGAGCCCTTCCTTCGGTGCTGCAGGCAGGAATAACTCTGCCAGCTGCCCTTAAACCCTTTGCCTAAATTAGGCTGCGCAGAAGAAGCAGGAGGGATGAAATGCTGGATGTTTAGGAGCAGGCAGGCCCCCTTTGGACAGCCTCACCTGTGAGAAGCAGACTTCTTGGGAGCAAACTCATAGTCCTCAGGGTACCAGCGCCTGAAACGAAAAGAGGGACGCCCCGGTCTCCATGCTGAGGAAGCCAAAGCACGCACACACACACACACCCTGCATGCAGAAGCCACACCAAAGGAGGGTCTGCAGAAGCTTGGAAGAACTGCAGGAGTCAAATCCTGGGCCAGAAATCAGCTTCACCGAAGACCATTTCAGGCCTGCAAATGCGTTTTTATTTTACTGAAAACGTGTATTATTTTCCTGACGGGAGCTCCCTGCCTCCCTGAGCTCCCCTTCCCAACCTCTGCTAATCCCACGGGAGTCTCCCAATTCCACCGTTCCGCCAACCGGGACCCCTGGCTAGGAATTCTGGAGGGCGCCTCCTATTCACCTGCAGAGTTCCTTCACGGTGCTGACGTCGATGATCCGGTAATGGAGATGCTTCATGAACTGCGGCATGTATTTGTCAAGGAACTTCTTGTCGGCATGAACAGAGTTTCCTGTCCGGGAGCAAAACCCCGCCAGTCAAACCAGGATTCTCAGCCAGGAGACGGAGAAAAATGCAGAGGCCAACATTTCATCTCTACTGAATACAGTCGGCTCTGGATTTAACGGACTAAACGTCCCTTAAAGCCAAATGTCCATTAAATGGAAGGTTGTCCTGTATTGCTTGGGAACAAGTATAGAGTTAATCAAGTCCTGGCTGCCCTCTTCTCCTCCTCCCCCCCCCCAGGAGCCCCTGCCTGCCCACCCCATTGGCCTGCCCCCATCTAGGCAGCCCATGGCATTCTCTTCCAGGGGGTCTTCTCCATTAACACCAAAGCCCCTTAAGCCAGCCACCATAGTGGGGTTCCCTCCCACTCTTAAGCTGCGCAAACTCCCAGAATTCCCCCAGGCAGCCTGCTGGCTGGGGGCTTCTGGGAGTTGCAGTCCACGTGGCCTTTTAACCTTGCCCAACTTGGGAAACTCCGGTTGAAACGAACGAAAGAGGCCAAGTTCACCGCTCCAACCTGCGAGAGGGCAGAGCCCCGGCGGAGTCTGTTGTCGGATGAAAGACAGGAACTCGTACTCCGCTTGGCGCAGGGAGATCGTACTCTCCTTCACGGCCTTGGTCAGACCCGACTGGGAGAGAAGAGAACGCAGAGGTGAAGCTGCATCGTCAAGAGAGTCGCTCGGACCCAACCCCCGCAGGCTTCAAGGAACCCATGCCTGAAGGCTGTTGCCCAAGACAGGGGCTCGGAGTAGGGTTGGGGGAGGAAATTTCGGAATAAGGGCACCCCTGAACATGCCAGAAAGGGTCTGAGGAAGGCTCAGCGGGCTCTATTATTCCAGAGCCTCTGAAGGATCTCTAGAGACCCCCATTCCAGGGGAACCCGCGCAAGATGGCCGGCGGTGCCCACCACTCAGAAAGTTGCTGAGATACACAGGACCAGGGCTTTCAAACTTGGCACGTTCAAGACTTGTGGACTTCAACTCCCAAAATTCCTAACATAACTGGAAGAGGAAATTCTGGGAGTTGGAAGTCCACAAGTCTTAAAGCTGTCAAGTTTGAAGACTTCTGTCATAGAGAAATCCAACTGGACAAAGTCTACTACTTTGTTTTCATTATTGTCTGCATTCCCAGACAGCTATTGTCTCCTTGTTGATGTTCCTCAACCGAGGGCCCGGAATCGTCTCTACCTGTGTAGGTTCATGACCTCTGACCCCAAAAAGAAGGCTCCCTTCCAATTATTCACAGCAGGACAAGACCTTGGTGGCCCCATGGCTGGGTGGGGGATATTCCTTTGCAACACAAGCCTCACTGGCCTTCCCATACATGAGCTCCTGCCACAGTTCCCCTCATAAAGAGTGGAAGGGTTGAGAAAGAGATTTAAATTCAAATATCAGGTTCCAGCAGGAACGAGCAACCTCAGAATCCCCAACTTTTGTTCTGCCGGGCTGCAGCTTCGGGGCTGACCTCAGAGCGGTGCTGGGTTGCCCCCCTCTGGGCTACAAAGCCACTGAGCTTTCCCTCAAGGAAAAGGGTCCCTTCCTCAGGAGGGCAGAAGGGGACCCTAGGGAGGAGGAGGAGGAGGAGGAGGGGGAGGGATGGTGAAACCGAGAAGAGGAAGCCAGTTGAGCACAAAATTCTAGGAAATTGGAGATCTTACCTTCCCATGATGCTCTTTGCACCAGTCTGACATGCTGTCAAGCAACTCATTGGGCTGGTTGATGATCAGGTTAGGACCCTACCAACCAAGAGAGGACATTTATGGATGAATGAATGTTTATATGACCATCCAACTGACCAACCCTAACTCCGGGCAGCTCACAAGAATAGAATAGGAATAGAAATAGGAATAAGAATAAGAATAGAGTAGTATAGAATAGAAGAGGGGAGAATAGAATAGAACAGAACAGAATAGAATAAAGAAGAAAGGAAAGATAAAATAGAATAAGAAAGGACAAAGAAAAGAGAATAGGAAAGAATAGAATAGAATAAGAAAGAATAGAATAGAGTGGAGTTGAATAGAAGAAGGAAGGACAATAGAATATAGAATAGCATAGCATAGCATAGCATAGCATATTCTTTATTGGCCAAGTGTGAGTGGACACACAAGGACTTTGTCTTGGTGCAAATGCTCTCAGTGTACATAAAAGAAGAGAGACATTTGGCAAAAGTCAAGAATCATCAGGTACACTTAATGACTGGGTGCAATAAGCAATCAAATCCTACTAGGAAACAGTCCATATAGATCGTAAGGATACAAGAGACAAGGTTACGGTCCTACAGCCACAAGTGGGAGGGGGGGGATGATAAGGAGCGATGGGAGGATTAATAGTGATAGTCATGAGCCCAAGAGAACAACAGAAAGCACTTAAAAACACAGCAGTCAAAAGGCCACCCTCCCTTTTCAGGGAAGGTTTCATCATCGCTCCTTCCGCACGGCATACACCTCTCTGGTGCAGAGGAGGAAGAGGCAGTCCGTCCTTGAGGGAGCCGGCAGGTTGAGGCCGCGGAGGGATCCACGTCTCCTCAGAAGCCACAGGGAGAGAGAACAGCTGTAAGCCAGTCCGCCTTCCGGTTTAATCTTCCCTTTGCCCCCTTGGCATCAGCCGTTCTCCAGGCTGGGAACCTCTGGGCCTGGCAGGCGGGGAAAGGGGAACTGGGTGCCTCCAGACATTCCCCCCAGGGCCCCCCCATCAGGGGGAGACCGTCAGGATAGCAACTTACTTCGGCCAGGATGTTCAGCCCTGAATCTGTGACCAGGCAGGCCATCTCCAGGATCTGGTCCTTCTCAACGTCCAGGCCGGTCATCTGTGTCCGAGAAGCAAAGGCAGCCAGGGGAAGAGCATGGGAATTAGCCCTGGCCTTAAGCAGGGACTCACTAACTGAAGGGGAGACAGGGGAGGAGAGTGGGTGGGGGGTGAGCAGGAGAAAGGAGGAGAAATTCACCGTCCTGCCTTCAAGGGAAGAAGGCGACACTCGGAAGGGAGAACCTCAGGGTTCCCCAACCTTGGCCACTTTAAGACGGGTGGACTTCCACTCCCAGAATTCCTCCTCTGGTCATGTTAGCTCAGGAACTCTGGGAGTTGAAGGCCACAACTCTTCAACTTGCCAAGTTTGAAGACCCTTGCTCTAGATCAGGGGTCTCCAACCGTGGCCACTTTAAGACGGGTGGGTGGACTTCCACTCCCAGAGTTCCTCAGCCAGCAAAGCTGGGGGTGGAAGTCCACCCGTCTTAAAGTGGCCGAGGCTGGAGACCCCTGCAAGTCTAAGGGCCATCCATGGAGGGCTCCCATCCTTGGTGGGAGGATGCTTACAGCTGGGCTGGGCATTGGGAGGGTCGAAAGCTCCTTGCCGGGTCAAGCCAGACCAGCTCTGGACCAGCGGGCCATGGAGGGCGGAGACCCCAATGCAGCTCTGGGGTCTCCCCAAAGACAGGGGCAAATCCCGGCCCCAAAGGAAAACGCCAACTGCCCATCAAATAGGGAGCAAAGGGGGGGGAGAAGCCCTCTGCTTGAATTCATGGGGCAGACCCCCTGAATGCCACCCCCCCGCCCCACCCTCATTGGCTTCTGCCTGTTATGATGGGGGGATTGAGAGCCCCTCCCTCCAGCAAAAGCCCAGGAAGGAGGCACAGCTGCATCCCCAGATTCAAGACCCCCCCCAAAAAAAATTGTGGAGGGAGATGCTGGGTCCCATCTTAGAAGAGGGGGGGGGTTGAGGGCTTTAGGAGGGGGGAAGCCCCCTATACAGGAGATCCCCCCTGCCTGCCCCCCTCCCAGCCCCCCGGGACCCTTGGAGGGGGCCAGCCGCCCCGCACCCCAAGTGGACAGGCGGGCGGGCGGATCTCCCGTGGGATGGGGTTTGGGGGGCTTCCCCCCCGCTTCCTGCCTCCTCCCTACCTCCAGGTCCACCCAGACGATCCTCTGGCCCATCTGGGCGGCCGCCTCGGCCATCGCTCGCCTCCCGCCGCGCCCCGGGACGCCTCCTCCGCAGAGCCGCAGCCAGCCGCGGGCGCTTCCGCCGACGCCACGCATCCCCGCCGAAAGGGACTACCGTTCCCGGCAGGCAGCGCGACACCGAACCCGCCGGCTCCAGTCCTGCCGCAAGGTCTGCCGGGAGACGGAGTCCTCAAAAGAGCCCGACGCCCAGCGGCCGCGCCATGCATAGCATGCCGGGAAAAGTAGCCCCCCCCCTTCCTCCCCTAAACGAAGGCGGAAGCATCCTCGTTGGAGGTCCGAGGGCCACCCGGGACCGGCCTCCGAGGGCCCTGGGCCCCGGCCCCAGATGCCCGCCTGCTCCACCCTGCTGGGGAAGGAGGGAATGGGCAGCTGCTTCCCCCCCACCCCCAATGGGCTGCTCTGGGCCAAGGCGATCCGCCTGCCAAGGGTTGGGTTTGGAGGGGGGGCAGACAGCTTGCAGCTGCGACCAGGAAGTGGGGGGTGTCAATGTCAAAGGTCGACCTTTGCCCTCCCTCTATGGCTGACCAGTTTTTTAAAAAAGCACTTGGAGTTCAACTGCAAGGGGAAGGCGGAGGGGCCAAGAGGCTGCGTGTCAAAGGACAGGATGGGCAGCAAAGCCCTTTGAGCTTCCTTTGGGTGGGGGCTCTGTGGAGCTGCTTTCCCTGCCCCAGGGCGGGGGGGCCCCAGGGCTCATGAAGGAAGTGGCATATTTCACCCCAGGAAATCGGTGCAGCCCAGATGGGCCTCGCTTGGGAAAAGAGAGCCCACCCTTTGCGGACTGTCATTAACAATCTTAACAAATTCATTCTTTTTTTTCTGAGTACGAATTCCCCAGGGAAAAGAAATAATGGTAGGAACAGAAACAAAGCAATATAGCATCACTGAAGAGAAAGAACAGAGGGGCAGGTTAATACCCACCCCAGGCAAGATTTGGACATCCAGAGCATGCAGCCTCTCTTGGGGGCAGATCGATTCTGTCAGAGCCTCTCCAGGAATTTAGATTTTAGGGGAACAGGGAGAGTAAAGTAGACAAACTAGGCAGGCATTTTTGGGGAGGTGCACGGAGCCGACTCCACATGAGAGGCAAATACTTTTGGAAAACTGAAAAGAACCACTAGCTTTCAATTTAGACCCCAGGAGATTTTGTTTGCACACACAGACAACAGTTTTTACAAGAAAGGAATTATTTATTTTTTGTCATTATATACATATACATAAGCCTAAGGAAGGGCATGTTTAATACTCTCAACAATATTTCTTGGGAAAATGTTAGAAATGAATTTTAGGGGCTTTTTAAATTTACGGCATCATCAAAAGCAAGGTCATTGAAATACTAGTAGAAAATGTTTCCTGTATATGAACAATGTTGTCAACATTAATATTAACAAAATCCCACCCCTTCAGACATGTAGTATAACCAAGGCTTAACAAACTTTCTTGGAAAAAAAAGAAAAAGCAAGCAGCAACAGCAGCAAAATAAAACCCTAGTCCTGTTCTTTCAGGAATTCTGTTTGGTAGAAAGAATAATAGTCATCTTGGGACTGTAGTAGTAGGGAAGAGATGAGGATGAACCCGGTTAAAACGGCTGCTTCTTCCCTAAAATCACATGGCTCCAAGTGAAACGTACCCCAATTGCAAATACTGGGTACTAATTTTACTCCAAGCAGCCATTTGAAACACAACCTATGTGTTTTACGTGTGCCCAGAAAACACAAACACTGAATTACCAGTCCCAACGGCCTACGTTTAAAGGAAGCACCGGAGATGCACCCGGAAGCCAAGTGAAAGCTAGGCCTGCTAGTTTCTTACCATTAAAAGTGCTCCCAGAAAAACACTTGTGCCAAATCAGGATTTCTCAGAATACAAAGAAGTAAGAGTTGCATGCACTGATGGCATTTTAGCCAGGAAGCGGGGTGGCAGGGGTGAGGGGTGGGAAGCGTGAAGATTGTAGCCCACCCGGGGGACGGAAAAGCAAGATTTCACTCTCCAATTACTAAGCATTTTGAGCTCTCATCAGGAACCAGTCATTTTATGATGAAATGTTTCATTACAAGTTTGCAATGGGCGCATATTCTCATCAATACTTACCTCTTTCTCATTTCATTTGAATATTGATTTTCTAACTTAACCTAAATCAGAAATTTCTAATTTTCAAAGTGTTTGCAAAACAATCTGAATTTTTCTCCACGTGAGGCAGAAGCATGCAATAATTTCCTGAGAAGTGGTAATCACTTAAGATACTGCAGGGTCTCCTTGATATAAAAACCACCAGACCAGATCAGCTATAAAAAACCCCAATGAGACTGTCAGTGTAAAGAACACACATCCTTCATTACAGGTGATCAAATTCTTGGGCAAATCTGCTCCCTTTGTAGATCTCACCAGGTGAAACACTTAATACAACGAATATTCAGTAACTTCATTCCCGCAGCAAAACATGGTTACCCAAATTATCAACGGCCACCAAACTTTCTCCTTCCCGGCCCTTTTCTGAGCAACACCAGAACCACCTCAGGGGCTCTTGCTATAAAAATACCAACGTTGGTTTTAAAATAAAACCAAAGCAGCAGAACGTTTTTTTTTTCCTTATAAAATAAACACAATGTCTTCTTTTCTTTATCCGTTTAAAAGTGTGGCACTTGTTTTTTCTCTCTTTGTCTAAACCCTGAGGGGAAGTTAATACAATTCAAAAATTCTTTTCTCTCAAAATACATACTGCAGATGATAGATATATAAAACTTTTTTTTTCTTTTTAAAAAAGGTAACTTGTGAAGTTACTGCCTACAAGCTCTCCGTGAAGGGAAGAAAGGAAGCTTTAAAAAGGGAAAGAACCAATAGGAAGAAATGTACGCAAAATCCGCTCCAAATACTTGCGAGTGGCGGGCGGAGCGCCATCCCCCATCGCGGTAACCCCAGCTGCTGTGATTCAGCTCCAGCCTCCATAGTTCCTGTCGTCGTGGTAATGGTCTTCCCGGCTCCCCCGGAAGGAGTAATTGGAACCGCAGTCCGCAAGCCGCCTCTGCTCCTGGCCGTGGTGCCTGTGGCCAGACTGGTACGGGTGGGAGCTGGCTCTGCCCTTGCGGGGAGGCTCCGAGCGCCAGTGTGCTGGGGAGGCGGAGGACCAGGGGAAGGAGTAACCCTGCTGGCCTCCGGGCAGAGACTCGGGAAGCGGAGAGTTGTGCCTCCCGCCGTACGACGGGACCTGCTGCCAGGCCGAAGTCATCTGGGTGGGGAGGCAAGAAGCTTGGGTCACCTTCAGCAAGAGGGGTGAGGAGAGGAGGGCCCTGCGGCCAGGAAGAATCCCCACCACCCCCGTGTCCGAGGAAGGGCAGGAAGGCTCTCGGCCCTCAACTGCAGCCCTGCTGGGGAAGGGCAGAGGTGGGAGTATTGCCTGCTAAGCCAAAGAGGGCAGGAGAAAACGTTTTGAGCAGAGATCTAGAGCAGCAGTCTCCACATTTGGCCTTGGCTGGCTGAGGAATTCTGGGAGTGGAAGTCCACGGAAGTCTTAGAAGTTGCCAAGTTTGGAGACCCCCGCCCCCACCCCCCACTCTAGAGGGAGCCAATGAGGAGGAGGAGGAGGAGGCCTGAGAAAGATAAAGTTGTAGCAAGCACGGTGAAGAGACAATATGGGCCATCAATGTAACGCTTTTGGTGGGTTTTTTTTTTTTACTGCACTTGCATATAAACATGTACAAGGATTTCCTCTGGAGCCACTCATAAAACTTGGGGGGACCAGTTACCATGCAGGGAAGAATGCAGGAAAGCGGGTGGAATTGTCAGATTTGATGCTACTTCAGGCAACTGCAGCACAAAATAAAGATGGCTGGTGTTGCAGGAATTCGGCATGTAAAGAAAGGACACCCCCCCACCCCATCCCACCCCCCCCAGAGGAAAATACAGGCTCACATCCCATCTGTGACCCCTCAAGGGATCTGTGCTGTTCCTCTTCCAAATCACACTGGGGAGGCCCACTCACCATAGCCTTCAATTGATGGTTGTCCAGAGAGGAGAGAGATCTCTGGCCAGCTGACATGTTCTCAGTGTTCCTCTCAAACCTGTTCAGTCAAAACCAGAAGAAATCAGCTGTATTAATCTTAATAAAGTTGACATTCAATTTTATTTTATTTTTCCCAAGGAACCACATTCCATATATTTGTAAATTTACCATGTTTAAAGCACTTCTTTAAAGAAAATATAATTAACCAGTTTTATTACAGGCACATTTGTCAAATGCCTCAGGAGACCTAGTAATTATTTCAAATCATGGATCGCAATTCAGTGTTCTGAAAAGTATCAGAACATTTTAATAAGTGGTTTTGAAATACTTTTAAATAGCGCGCGGCTTCTGCACTTTAGTGCTATCATTTCATGAATTTCATTTTCCACCCCAACTAGACCCCCCCAAATTAGGCCAGTTTAAAAGCCAGCAGAGAAGTCCACACAAGGCTACCTGTTGCTGTGCGCTGCTGCCAGAAGCTGTGGGCTGGAAGGGTTTCCGTTTGCAAATCCATGTGGGGCACAGGGTGAGGTGACCTCTTGAGATGCATGACTGCTCCCTGGAAGACATTTTGGAAGATGAATTAAAGGACTCTTGAGGGAGACAAACTGCAAGATGCCAGCAGCCAAGATGGAGCAATTAACTGGCTCTGAAGTATCACACCAGAGAACTACTACAGCACACAAACACATTTCCAAAACAAATGTTGCAACCTTCTGAAATACCCAGTAGGTGACAATGCAATCGCAATGCAACACTAAAGACACCAAAGTCCAACTTAATTGCAATCCCATGTTAGATGGAAATGAGCCGTCCTGAGCTGAAAAAAACTAAGGACATTCTTTCAAATACACCAGCCCCATTCTGCAAAAGTTGATTTCGCATATTTTGTTTAAACCAGAAGTGAGATTTAAAGAATACCAACATACTGAAACCAAGACTCCAGAATTCATTTCAGCAATGGGGCTGAATTGGGAATAAATTTGTTTTAAGAAGAATGTTTTGTGGTCACAGCAGATTATATTTCACAACTGAACAACTCAAAGTGCATACAGCATTCAGTGAAGCAAAATAGTCATTTGTAGGGCGATGAT